GGTTACAAAACAACGATCGGCACGAATTCTCGCCAAACAAATTGGCTATCCGCGGATCGATGAGATACAATTCGATTCAGCTCAACGCAATTCGACTAAGCAGCTGACCGTAAAACTCTTGCACGCTTTTGTGACGCGCCAAAAACGCCATGAAAATTGAAATATTTATTGAAACATCAGCGATGCAGCGACGAAAAATTGGCAAGTACTAAAAATTACAGCGCGAAACAACAAGGACTGAATCGAATGATTAATCGAATTTAACAAAATGTCTCTAACCGATAAATATTTCCAATTAAATAAAAAAGATTTCCGAACCAATAACTTTTATAACGCAAATGATTTATGGGGGTCGATCATTTCCATAATGTAAAACATCTGTAAGAATCATTTAATATGAGATCATTTAATATATCTCTATAATTCAAAAATTTTATTTTGCGCCGATTATTTTACGGGGACGAGCTGAAATTTTTCAAGAGAAGGAACGAAACAGAAAGGCGACTAATAGTTTCAATGCCTTATCGGTATAAAACATCCAGCTGGATGTTTCCCATTAGAGCGCGGATGTGTGTCATTTACGCGTTTAACGCGCGCGCGAGTTTCACTTCACCTGGTCAAGTGTTTTCCTCGAACCACGTGGCTAACTGGAACGCCACGAAAGTCAGCGAATCGATGACATATTTTTACGAACGAGTCGTTCGCGTATCCTCGCACGAGCTTCGACTGTACAGAAAAATTCTTTTCCATCAGACGACTACGTTGTCGAATAATGGAATTTCAATCTTCTTCTCTCGTTGGTCCTATTATTTCGCGAAGATCATCGCCATAGGCTGATCAAACGTGAAAGATGGAAAACGTCAAAGAATTCATAAAAAAAAAAAATTGTTGAATATTTTACGACAGATACAAAGCCTGGAAATTTTTACGAACGACAAGTACGAGACAGAAAGTTAATTTAGATGGAAAGTCGTTCCTGGGAAGTTTCGAAAGGATATAAAAATGGTTAAAAATTGGCGTTTCGAAAAATAGATTCGAATCTGAACCAATAGGAAATATACGAGTGTACTTTAGACTCCTTTGTAACGTTGTAACGTTGAAAATGTATAGTGATATCGAAGTGACATTAATCGACACAGGCAACCGCATACACTGTATGCACAGCCACAGGCGAATTGAAATATTTCATTTAAACGTGGCCACGAAAAAAAGCAAACAAAGAAATAAATTGCTCGATGGTGCCTTTGTAACGAACAACAAAAAAATGGAAAGAGAATAATTTATTTTATCTCACTCTGGAGCACCGTTACCAAACGTCACGATAAATCTTAAATCCAAAAAATTTACTACGTATATCGGCCGGAAAAAAGAAAGAGCTTTACGCGTTTGTATCGTTCAATTTTGTCAATCGATCAATGGTTTGATTCGGCGGCAAATCTTTTATAAATTCCATCGAACCATTTTGTCATCCATAGCCGATATCCAGACCAAGTTTCGCGGTTAAAAAGGAACGGATCGCGTTGGAAAATACATAAACAGCATCGCGATAACAGAGCAGGGCAAAAATCGTATCGAGGTCAAAGTAGCTCGAGTTTTATGCAATTATGCTCTTTTATGCGATTAATCGAAACAATTAATCCGCGAGGCCACGCTATCGGCCCGTGTTCACGCGATTACTTCGATTCGTGTCTCCAACGTCGGAACAAATTAATCGGAAGCGCAGGGCCTATCTTTTGCGGATAAATTCTCATCGATTTACATCAAACCCGAATACGAATTTCATCGACGATAAAATTAATTGCCCCGAATTGGCGCGTGTGTACGACTATTCAAATTGATGGTCTTTGAATCTATCGCGGTACGATAATGAAGATGCAAAAGTACTCGAACGATTAATCATAATGGACAAAAGGCTCGGTCAGTTCGTCTGTAATTACATCAGTGTGCCGGATGACGTAGTGACTGCGTTTTGGACGAGATCAATAACGAGAACAGTTTGGCGAAAAACAGAGTGAGATAAGATACGTAAAGACATTGCGAAAACTCGAATGTTTAAAAATCGAAATCTTCGATTTAAACAATTCGGATATCCCGATTCGAATTAGACAGAAAGAGATAAAGGATTGCTACGACATCTCGAGCATCCGAAACAACGAAACGAAACCCCCCGAGAGGAACAGACCCTACACGATTCGCCGCGCATGAGGTAATTTACACCACGATTACACCATAGGGTTACCAAATAGGCGCGCATTAAAAAGTAAGAGGGCGGGAACCACCGAAAATAATGAAACAGGGTGGTGCGCGGGGGTTGACCACGGGCATCCTCTTCTCCCTTTCTCATTGTTTTCCGCGCGGGGACACACCGCGGTGCGTGTCGCGA